TCAAGAAGACAAAGAGAAAATCTGCATACCCCACCCAAGCTCTTAAGAGTCATTAGCCCCATCACCTGGGAAGCAGGATATGATAATGGGATTAAACCACAGATATCAAAGCCTAGAAAAACACTCAGAAATATCCTCAAAGTTCATGCCACAGGAACAGGAAACTACTCCAAGCAGGGCTGGGAGGGGGTATAAAAAGCCCTTCTACTCATGTGCTCGCTCTCTTTCTTCTCCTCTGCTGCTTCTTGCAAGGACCATCTGTCTTCTGCAATAAACTGTAACCTTCTTCCCAAAGCAGTCGCCATGTTTGCTTATTTATTCCCGGCTTGGATGAACCAGGATGAAGACTTACTTCTAACACTAGGTTTATAAACTATTTTATATAGTACCACCATCATCACCATTTTAGCCATTTTCTATCCACTGCAGGATGAAGACCTCTTCCGCATGTTTCCAACCAATAGGGCCCTGAGCTTTCCTTTGCCAGCTGGACCCGTAATATTTGCTGATGTCGTCGATCATTGTCTCTATTTTTCTACAAGTTTTATATGAACTCTTGGCCAAAAGCAATGATAGATGGCAGAGGTCAATATCCTTATGACAGCATGACAAGTTTGGCATATGGAAGGCTGTGGCTTGCAATGTAAGAGGAGCAAATAGTAAGGAGCATGAATTAGCACATATACGAAAAATAGATATCTTGTAAAAATATATCTTTTGTATTAAAAAAAAACTAAGACAAAGGGATAGAATGTAATAAAACTGAGTGAAGATGGTCTGATCTTGTGGAATTGATGAATATTCCTGGGAAGTGAAAGTGTAGATTTAATGATGAAAGAACTAACATCTATGTCAGAAAGTATGAACATGTATCATCTGGATTGTTGTGGATGCGTGTGAAAAGAGGAATCCACAGAATGGTGATAGTTGTATGTTATGTTCCAGTGAATCATAATAATGGAAGGTGAGTTTAGAGGAAAATTGTGCAACACTGAAAGAATGTGATCCAGAGGGAAATATTATTCTGCCTGATGACATGCTTTGAGGCAATACCTTGAGTGAGGAATTTGATTGGTCCAACCATGTGAAATTACTGAGGTAAGTCCTAGACCACAATTTTCACATGTGCTTAAATACATAGGTATATATTTATGTAATAGTCTCACCCTCTGAGATTTCTGTACATTCCTGTTCATGTACTAAGTAGCTGTATCACAGAAGTGATTTCATATTTCCTAAATGAGAAATTATCTCTTGCTACAATCAGCACCTAATAATTTGCATATTCAAGAACAATTGTACTGCCTCATCTGAACCCAAAACCCCATACATTTCATGGACAAAATATTGAAATGACCATTGCAGGAAATCAAATAGCAAATAAGATAACTATGTTTAATCTGGTCTTCAGTAAGATTTAGACTTTATGGGTTTGGGGTCTTATGAATCATTGCTTCCTTCTGTTTCATGGTATGGGGAAGAAACTACTTTCAAAGGAGACAGAAGATAGTACTACTGTATGTAATTTGGATTTCCAGGGGAGATATGGCAATCTGAAGGTGGCTGTGCAAAAATGTTGTTGACAATTGCAGCAAAGACCAAGGAATGGATGAATAGGCCAATTCCTTGGAACATCTCTAGATAAGGAGAGGATGGGAGATTACCCTCATATCTTCCTAACAGCTGCTTCTTACAAGGAGAACACAGGATAGCAATTTTCCTTTGGGATGAGTGCTATGAGATGAAGGGGTTAGCCGTCTTTCTCACAACCACGACAAAGACTTTTAAAGGATATTAAATTTGCAAGCCTCACTTTCTCACTTTCAGGAATTGGTCATTAACAATTTTTAAGCTATTACAACTTTCCGAATGACAAGTGGGAAAATGCTAATGAGTCTACCTTTAGACTCGAACAAAATTCTTTTTAATCATAACCTTAAGAATTTAATGTTGTAAGCTGCCCATAATCTCCTTGTGACAAGGCGGGTAACAAACAAATTTAGTAAATAATGTCATGGTTCCGATAGATGAAACTCTTCAAAGAACTTCGAGGCATTGTTTACCTTAAATAATAAACTTCCTTTTTACGACCCTTTAATCCCTTAATTCAGGTGATTCAGGGCAATTGGATGAAGCTGAGCTTTACTGACCGGAACCCTTCCTGACGCCATACCAGATATTTTTTTTTTTTTTGGTGCTCTAGGAGAAAAACATCTGCCGCTACCTAGGATTGAAATCTCAACCTTCCAAGTGGGAGGTGAGTGTCTTCGTCACTAGGCCACCACAAACAATAATTAATAATAATTTAAAGTATCTGAAATAAACAGATAAGCAGTTTCATCAGTTCAAAAACTGGACACTAGAGGGAACTAAAGAGGAAAGATTAACAAGCCTATAAAATTTTGCAAAATATAACAATAACAATACTGAATGAAACTTTTGAAGAATGGAATCAGAAAATAATAGCAATATCAATAATGTCAGTAATAATATTTATTTGTATGGATAGACTGTTTAAAGGATGTTATTAAAAAAAATGAAAGATGTAGAACAAATTTTATCTGACAAGATAGAAATGGTTTTGCAAGTGGATATACAATTGACAGGACAGGAGAATGGCTTATAAAAGGACGTTTCATTGGATCTACAAAGAAACTAGCTGAGGTTTTAAAATTTAAAAAAGGAAGTACAAATGACAAACCAAAGGTGTGATTTGGATAATTTTTTCTTATTGGATTTACAAAAGAGGCTTCTTAGAGCTTTGAAGAACTCTATGGAATGGGCCAAAGAAGAAATGAAGAGAAATTATAGAAATATTTTAAAGAATTAAAGATTAAGATTGTTGGAAATAAAAGGAAGTCAAAGGAAGTCAAACAAAATTGCACAACCTGTGGTAAGTATAAAGAGAAACTAATGAGAAAGTTACTGCAGTTTTTTGTACAAATGCATTATATCAGATTTTTCATCATAAAGAAATTGATGAGACTTAATTAGACCTTAACAACCATGCATGGGAAAACTTACTCAGACATAAATGCTGCATACACAATGAGAAAATAACGTACAGTGAATGTTGCAGAATTCCCACACTCTTTACGCACCCAACAAATCTACATCAGTTACTATTACTTTGCAATGTGATTAGATAACAAGACAAACACCTCTATCTCACTCCACAGATTGTGGCTGTCAGAAGACAAACTTGGTAATTTTAGGGTGTTAGATATTTGGTCTTGCTGTAGTTGCATCATTCTTTTTGTTGTTTAATGTCTACTACAGTATTCTAACATGTGGCCAACAGTGGCAACAAGAGGACTTTTGCTTGTTTCTGTATATCATCAAGCAATAACATTGAAGTTATTGTAGTAGTAATTGTTAGCACAGAGCAGCTTTTGAATGGCTTTGGCATGATCATCCTAACTCTATTTGCTCTCCTTGGTTTTTTGCAACTGGTGGATATTTTGTGGTACAGGTAGTCTTCAACTTATGACCACAGCTGAGGCCAGAATTTCCATTGCTAGGCAAGGCGGTTGTTAGATGAGTCACACCCAATTTTAGAACCTTGTTTGTCATGGCCCTTAAACGAATCAGTGAACCATTAAGCGAATCTGGCTTCCTCCATTGAGCTGGAGGAAGCTGGCTGGGAAGGTCGCTAATGGAGGTCACATGACCCTGAGATGCTGCGACTGTCATAAATACATGCTGATTGCCAAGCACCTGAATTTTGATCCTATGACCGTCGGGATGCTGTGACAGTCGTAAATGCAAAGAACATAAGTCACTTTTTTTCAGTGCCATTGTAAAAATTTGAATGCTCATGAAATGAATGGTTGTGAGTTGAGGATTACCTGTAGAGACAACACCAGGACAGATAGTATAATGATTGTTCTTAACCTAGATTGTCCTTAACCTAGAACTAAGGAGAAACTTCCTGACAGTTAGAACAATTAACCAATGGAACAACCTGCCTCCAGAAGCGGTGAATGCTCCAACACTGGAAGTTTTTAAGAAGAAACTGGACGGCCATTTGTCCGAAATGGTGTAGGGTTTCCTGCCTGAGCAGGGGGTTGGACTAGATGACCTCCAAGGTCCCTTCCAACTTTATCATTATCATCATCATCATCATCATCATCATCATTATTATTATTATTATTATAAAGCAAGGCCGGCACCATAGGGACAAGAGTAAAACTGCAGTCATCGAGATGTCCGAATTATGCTGTAAATGACTACTGCAATAAAGAAAGGCCTAGTAACAGCAATGAAGCACTTGCTCCAAATTCCTTTTAATAAATTGGTGAGTTTTCAGGAAAAAAGGAGAATCTCAAACTCAGTTTCGATCTGCTTTTTTGGCATCATCTTGTGGCAATCCTCTAAGCTTCCCACACCCACAGATAGCACTCCCTAACTGTGATAAGCTTGGGGAAACGTCTTCAATGAGATGCATAGCGTTGATGGAAGATGGTTAATGCTGCCCAGGGGCAAGGTCCTTCCCACCAGCTGCTTGGAAATAGATTTTCCCTAACCCACATAGCTATCAAGCTTTTAAAAAACATCAGTTGATGCCAAGGCACAGGTGCGGTTTTGGGGGAAGGTCATGAAGGACGAACTGCTCTTCCCAAATGCTGCAGTTCATTTGAAAAATTATTTCCTATGCTCCAAACAGACTCTTTAGAAATCTCTTATCAGTTTTAATGTAAGCTCTAAAAAACAATTGTAGTTGATGGATGTATACAAGAAAAACAAGTACAAAAGAATGAATCAAGTATGTGTCTATATGGATGTATGTGCACCAGCAAGAGAATGGGTTGAGTCTGTTAAGAGAGAACTCAGGCTTCCACTTGACTAATATTCAGGAAAACATACTAAGCTCTAACCACTGCAGGCATGCAGCTGACCTCTTTGCCCAGTGTCAAATTTGCCTTTGGGCTCATTATCAGTTTCCTATTATAATGAGAATATCACTTTCCTACTATAATGAGAATATCAGGAAACCCTAAAAATGAAAGGCACAATGTATGCACAAACTGGAGTGCATAACAAATGGAACTCTTCCTAAAAGGGTCTTCCAACTTTGAAACGAGGTTCCAACTCCAGATCCTCTTCTTCCTCCTTCAAGTCTTGATTGGGCACAATATAGTTATCTTCTATGAAACCATCATCATCCTCTGGATAGCACTCAGAAGCTCCACGTATTGGTTGGTTCCTCCCATACGTCATGTCCACGTCTCCTTCCTCAATATGGCTGCTTCCAATGGAACGAGAATCAGGCAACCGTTGATGGTGATAGCTGGCATGCTTTTTCTGGAGCAATTTGCATTTGGCAATCAATGCAATCAAGAGAGAGATGGTGATAGCCAAAAGCACAAACCCAGCAAAGTAGAGCCAGTTTTTCCCAGCTGTTTCAGTAGAAGGTGTGGTAATAGCTGCTGCAAAGAAAAGAAAGATTATAAGACACAAGAGCTATTAATGAACTGGAAGATCTGTGGCATCTGTAGCAAACTACAATTATGCCAAAATGATAATGTGTGCATTATCATGTAAATGCTACTGTTACATACTTGTGTTCTGATATGTGATGCAAGTATGTAAGATGTGGCATTTGCATCATGGTATTTGCCACCTTATGCCCCTATGGATGATCTGAGCAATACTTTATTTTAGTTGCATTTGCAAGCTTGCAAATCCTATGCAAACTTTTATATAGAAATGAATCCAATAGAATTCACAGAATGTACTACTGAATAAATATGAATAAGACTGCCTCAGCATTCTCCCCTTACAAGATGTGAACAGGAAATAAAAAGAAGAAACGTTCCATGAAAGACCTGGCTTCCTTTATTTAAGAAATAAAACACCATTTGTCTCCTCTGTTGCAATGGATGTCATTCTCTAGAAAATGAAATCCATTATTGTGGAGTGAGCTGAGCAGTGAAACTGCACATGCAGTTATATAGTTTATTGTCTGTTTAATTCTTCAATATAGCCTGAGATACAGGAATACACTGAGGTACAGACTGGAAAATGTGAAAAGCAGATGTGGTTGGGATTACATAACACACCAAAGCACATTTTCGTCCAACATTATGTAGAAGCCCAGCCTATGTTTTTAGTTTATAGTTCAGTGTGATGTTAAAAAAAACCATGGTTTGGAGCAAGAGTTGTACCACACCCAGATAGGCCAAAGCCAATTCAAAATATAATTATTTCATGGATAGAGTTGTGGGCTTTAGTAAAAATGACACTGAAATTCCTTGTGCTTTTTTTTTATATTTTAGAAGCATATATAATCTTGGCTTAAAATAATAGTAATTAAAAATGTATTAGAAGTAATTTCTCAAAGACAAACTCAAGAACAACAACAAAAGTCAAAAGTATATGGGTTAGGTCATTGATTAGGGCATCAACTATCAGATTCTTTTAAGATTGATTGGTATTTTCCTCCTTTGTTTTGTGTATGCATCCATGAGAGTGTGTGTTGTGTGGGTTTAGGGTTCATTGATTACCCCAATATAAAAAGTTGCTAAATATCATCTTTAGAAAAATAATATTAAATACAAAAAAAAAAAAAATCTGAGCAGGATGTTGTCTTTTTCCCCCCTTCAAAGTGACTATTTTGCAAAGACTTTTTTTCCCCTTCAAAGGGACCTTTGGGGGAAAGATGAGAAAAAGTGATATTTCTTATCATTATAGTTTCAGGACTTGTGTCAGTTTTATCAAAGTAGGAACTTCTTTACTGCCAAATGGCCCAGTTGGCCTGGATCAGCAAAGGATGCTGGCTTGTGATGACTAGGACTCCAATTCATCTCAATGAAAAGTTTTCTAGGGAACAATTTGTGATGGCTTTGGAACTAGAGGGGGAATGCCCCATGGAATAAAAACCGTACAATTATGTTGTTACTCTGAATCTACAAGGTTAGAGTCATATATTTTGCTTCACTTACTATCATTTTCTAATGGTAATGGCTTCTTCGTAGCCACAACATGAAGGAACTGAAGTTTTCTTCTGTGGCTCACAGTCTCATAATCTGAAGTTCTGATTTCTTCAGTCTGGAGTTCTATGTCTAAATGATAGACAATCTGTTTAAGAAATAGCTTCATTGTTTATTTCTGTTGCTCTACATCTTGATTTATGTTGGTTCTGATATTTGATTGATAAATACGTGCAAACATTCTTTTATGAAACTTAAAAAGGTAAGGAAAACATTTTCATTCCTAAAATTAAGCTGCTCAAATAATTTTTAAATGGCTTTGCAGATATGTTTGCAATCCAGTCCACTATTTAACTATTAGGGTATAATACATGAACATATTGACTGAGTTCATGTATTGCATTAAACTATCATTTATTTTTGCTTTAGGATGAAGTATAGCCTCATTTGCAGTAAGCTTTAAATCACAGTGATGTGAACTCTGCAATCGTTGATTATTCAATAAACCATCAGTGAAAATTTTGCCTTAATGTCTTGGGCCACTTGCAATTAAACAAAGTGAGAGTTGTTTGTGGGGCTTTTCCCCCATAAAACTGGAAAGATTCAAACATTTATAAGGTTGGTCTTGTGCTCTTTGTAAGATGTTACATTGCATGCATTCACACAATCATTATTTTTTCATGACTCAAAAATAAGTCCTGTGCACAACCAGGAAAGTCAGTTATGCAATAATATTATTTGCGTACTAACACAAAAGGTGATTCAACATAGCTTTTTTTTTTTTTACCCTGACAGAAGAACATATTGCTGAATGCCCTTCTCTCTGACAATCTTGGCCTCACCTTCTTTTTTTGGCACTGCTTTCTGGAAAGGAGTTAGGGAATCACTGCACACTGAAGGGTTCCCCTGAAGTTTGATATGGTGGATTCTTTGCACATTTAATTGCACAAGCTCATGTTCACAGGGCAGTTCATTGTTTTGCAGATCCAGATGGACAAGGATTCCAGAGGCAGGAAAAATGGAGAGGTCCAGAGATTGAAGTTTGTTGTTGTTCAGATGTAGAGAGTGAAGGCTTTTCAAACCTCTGAAGCTCATTCGGTGCACATAAGAAATGCCACAGTTGCTTAGATCCAAAAGGCGAAGAGCACCCAGGTTGCAGAACAGAGAGGAGGAAAGGGTAGGAATGCTGTTGCTGGAAAGGTTTAGGGAATGTAAGGAAGGAAAGCTTCTCAGAAAAGGTCCATGCTTGGGCATCGTCAGGGAATTGAAAGACAGATCTAGGATGGTAATGTGTCTGGGAAGAAAATTGGGAGGATGGAGAAGGCTCTTTCCACTGCAGGCAGCACGTCCCTACAAAAATATAGCCACGTGTGAAATATTAAAAAATTCAGTGGAATTAATGCTTCAAACTAACTTGGGATTTTTTCTTTCCATAAGAATCACTGAGTGACGTCACATAGAAAGGTAGATTTTGTTCCTTCCTTTTACATAAAACTAAAAACAGAATTTAAATTAAAATTTGGATTATTTGCCAGGAACCTTGATATTACCTCACAAGTGGGGGTTTTTTTTTAGAATGTTATTTGGGGTTTTTTGCCAAATGTTATAATGAAAAGTTAAATACTTTCAGTTTCTTAGTACAGTACTTACACACTGAGCGGGCAGCACTTATTTTGTAATACTTTTCCCATCCTTCAATTCTTTTTTTCTACCATGTCCCTGTGATATTTGCCTTCCTCTCACTTCCAATCTATACCTGACACAATCTTAGTCCTATTTATCCCTTCCGTGTACACAGTGTGTTTTCCTACCTTAAGTAAGTAGCTGCCCTCATTAGTTTTCAAGCGAGCACAATCAGACTCATTTCAGCATCCATTCTACTAATTCAAGGATAGGTAAATAGCACTTTAACTCAGCTCTGTGGAAAAATCCTTTGAAAACTGAAAGACATTGAAACTGATCAAAAATCCCACAATATTGTGAGCAAGTCCAGATTTGACTAATTAGTCCCAAATAAATACCCACGTTTGGCTAGTAGCAAGCAACCGAAACCAGAATCCACTATAGCTGTGATATGAAGATGTTTCTTGCACAGTTGTTAATAATGTAAAATTCATTCAGTAAAACTGAAAAATTATAAACAATTGAACCAAACTTGCCATTCCCTTGAATTGTGCAACATTTGGAAACAACTGGAAGCAATCACTGTATCCACTGAAAAGGATACTCTGCAAAAAAACCCAGCTCTTCTATTCCTCCCCCCCCCCAAGGAAAATGGAATGCAAGTCTGTCTCTTTAATGGAGTTTGTCAAAGGTGATATCTTGAGCTACCTGTATCTTTTACACTGAACTTGTATGTGTGTGTGTGTGTGGGGGAAATCTCTGTGTTAATTACACAGCATCCTTTAGCTCTCTTTGCTTTCACCATTCCTTGTTACACATGTTCATCCCAGATTGGAGCAGTAAGCTATTTCAAGGATGCCAGTGCTTGTTTAGGATCCAGTTCTCTTGAAAGAAGACTTGATGTACTAGTTATCAACCATCCGCTTGCGCACTCTTGAGAGGGAGAGCGGTTCAGGACATCTCTTCTGATGGCTAGATTTAAAGAAATCTAAGGAGCCGAGATTTGAGGAAGATAGAAATTTGTTCATATTGTCTTGATTACCATTTTTATTATGGTAATTATGTAAATTAGAAGTTTATCTACAAAACCAGTATTTAACCAAATACAGTCATCAGGCTTTCTCACGGTCTAAGATCCTCACATAGAGAACATTTAATTTAGTTTTCAACTTGTAGAAATCACTCCTTGCTTACCATTTTATCAATGTTACAAGGATGTCCAGATACCGCAGACCATGGCAAGAGGATGCTGGAGATCCAGAGATACCAAATCTTTTTCATTTTGCTTTAAAAAAACTGCAGGATAGAAAAAGAATGCAGTGCACATTTGGTGATACAACAACAATCCTATGGACCTGTCTTCACCTTAACAGTATAGTAATAAGTTGGTAATATAAGTAGGAAAAGTAAAGCATGATTATTTTCAGCCTCCCAAAAAACCTGTACACCTCTCTGGTTCCCCAATCATACATTCTGCAAATTCACAACTGCATTAAGCATGGTTTGTCCAGCATACCACACTGGCTTGATAGACACAATATCCCATCTTATTGAAGAGTCATGATGGCACAGTGATTAGAATTCAGTATTGCAAGCTAACTGACTGCTCACTGCCAGGAGATCAGTCTTGACCGGCTCAAGGTTGAATCAGCCTTCCATCCTTCCGAGATCAGTAAAATGAGGACCAAGATTATTGGGGGCAATATGCTGATTCTGTAAACCAGTTAGTGAGGGCTGTAAAGCACAGTGGAGCAGTATATAAGTGCCATTGTTGATATTATTTAGATGATTTAAATTATTTAGAAACCACAGTATCAGACTTCATAAAATAATACAAACCTCAGACAGACAGTACTACATGTAAATCCAGTTAAAAACTACGAGTACAACTTATATTTATAATACAAATAGTGTACATAGGCATATACCTACCGTCCACAGGATAGTGGTGGTGGTGATTGTAATATCTGATCTTGAGTGCTAATGTGATACCATGATCCAGTCCTGTTTGTTTAAAATTACAATTCAAGTTGGGATATCATACTGGAGTGATGTTGAAGGAGGCATTATCAAAAAAGTAAAACAGAAAATTCAGGCCAGAAAGAAAGATAAGCAAAAAAAATAAACAAATAAAAGCAAAATCTGAAATAACATTAGAATGCTGAACTATCCAGTAGGAAAAGGCCCAATTGTCTGACTTAAAAGAAGCAGAAGGGATTGGTAGAAGAAAAGTCAATTTCAATTTGGTTCAAAAGGAATCTCCTGCTGTTCAAGCCACATTGTGATCAGGAGTGGCAACTGCATGAAATTTTGCTGTATCTCATTGCTTTTGTGGATGGGAAACTTCTGTTTTAAATACATTGCTCTCAAAAGTGACAAACTATAAAAATAAATAACACAAACAGCTTCATACTTTCCATGTCAATTTCTTCCCTGGTGAAGAAAAGAGTAAGTTTTTTTTTTAGCCCATTCAGAACAAGTAGATTCATGCCTTAGACATGAAAGCCGGCTGGGTGACTTTGGGCCAGTCACACTCTCTCAGCCCAATTCACCTCACAGGGTTGTTATTGTGAGGAAAATAGAAGAGCAAGGAGAATTAAGTATGTTTGCTGTCTTGAGTTGATAAAAAAATAATAAAGGCAGGATAACAAATTTACAGAAGCCCTTCTGCCTCATCAGTTAATTCTTGTTTTATGCGATGACAGTATGTTTGAGAAGAATTGCAAGAAATGGAGTTATTGTTTATTATGATCATTGACCAACCAACATAAAACAAAAAAGCATACAGGGCAGACCAAAGAGCGATAAGATGACACATACTCTGACTTTAGTTCTCCAGCAGAATTTTACAGACTATGAAATATTTCAAACATTTAGGGGAAAAGATATTTCTGTCAGAGAATTAATCCTATAAATTAATCATTTAAGAAAAACGATCCTGTACGCCCCGAGAATTTTGTTATTAAAGAGGCTATAAGGCAAAAACTGCTTGGGGAATGCTGGGTAGCCTGGACAGCCTCAGCAACTTTAAGATTGTGGATTTCCCCAATGTGGAAGGGAAATCCTGGGAGCTGAAGTCCATACATCTTAAAGTCGCTGAGGTTGAGAAACACTGCTATAGAACGGTTATATAGAACTTTGCTACTGTGGCTTCTTCTAAAGTCCAATGATCTTCTTGAGGTCATTCTCACTCTATCTAGCAAATCTAGTCCTAATTCAAGAAGTTGATCTCTTGAGCTTCTGTAGGGTTGGCCTTGGCATATTGACAACAGACGTCTCTATTATAGGCAGTACAAGTTATTTGTATGCTACAAACCCTTGCCTTTTCTGGAAATTGAAATCCATAACCCCTGAAGGGCAACAGGTTGTCTCGTACTAATTGAATCTGATAATGTGAGCTTTAAGATTCAAACCACATGGTTCTTCCTAGGGTTATCTGCCTTTCCTGTCAAGCATTACTGCGTTTAGCACAAACTGAAACAATTCTTTCTTATTTCTGCTCAATGGTCTAAGGTAGTTGCAAGAAGAAAAAGAAAAAAAATGAAAAAAATGAAAAAAAAAAGAGTTGTGAAAAAAGCAGAAGCATTTGGCTAACTCAGGTTAAAAAAAAATCACAGTAAACTAGATTTTGAAGAGGCATTACTAGCTTTGCAAAATTACATTGACCTTCATGGGTCATCCAGATTTTCATGGACTGATATCCTTTGTCTTTATATAGCACTTGGCTCCAGGTTTCCTCAGATACAAGACACACAGACTTAAGAAGTTCCATGTTGCTTACCTTCTGCTTAAAAAAGGAGTCTGGTTTCCTGATTCTGAGCCACTCTGCCTCCAGTTTAAAGGAGAAGCAAATGTGTTGTTTCCTGTTGGAGAGGATTCTTCCATCCCCCCATGTTTACATGCACACCCGCACACCCTACCCCTGCCCCATTTAAAAAAAAAATGTGCATGGCCACTAGGTAGGGCGTTTCAATCTGAAATGTTTGTCCTGCTTGTATACTTTTCACTGTTCTCCAAATACACCCTGCAGGGAGAAAACTATTTACCTCAGAACTCATGCCAGGCTCTCCCTGGGTGTGCTCCTCTGCTTTCTCTCCGGTGCTCTTCCTTTCTGGGTCTGCGCATGAGGGGAGTGGCAGGTGCCTAAGAAAATGGAAGGTAAATGTGAAAAGGGTGAAAGGTAATGAAGCTGGTTACACATTAACTGGAAATCGGCTTCTCTGGTCTTTTTAGAATGATTGGACAAACATGGGTGACTCAAGTAGCACAGTTGGAGAAAGGTTTTGTACAGAATGCCCGTGCTTGTTTACACGAGCCTATGTATTAACTCTGGTTTCCTAATCTAAAAGATATGTTTGCGCATGCCTGAGGGATAACAGTTCGGTTATGGAGCTTTTTTTTTTTTTTTTGGTTTTTTTTTTGTGCAGGAGTCTAAAGCTCCAATTTTATTCCCAACATCTCCATGTACAGCCACAGGGGGAAAATACCTGTATGCATGCCCTTCCAATTGGATTACGATAGCATCCTTTAGGAGGAAAAAACTATTGTGGCATGAAGTTGGCTGCCCCACTGAAGATCCTTATCATGCCTCTCTACTGAGGTAATTATGTAAATCAGGGGTAGTCAACCTTGGCTCTTTTATGACTCGTGGACTTCAATTCCCAGAATTCCTGAGCCAGCTTAGCTGGCTCAGGAATTCTGGGAGTTGAAGTCCACGAGTCATAAAAGAGCCAAGGTTGACTATCCCTGATGTGAATGATGGAACAACCAGCTCCAATGATAATTTGCGGGGGGGGGGCTCATAGAGGAAATAGTCCCTTTCCTTTTTAGTTTTATCGTTGTTGTGACTATTACTTACTCCTGTTATTGTCCTGGGCGGCATGGTGGCTCATCATTTAAGATGCTGGGCTGGTTGGCTGAAAAGACGGCAGCCCAGATTTGAGACCCAAGTGCCACCCAAAGGGGTGAGCTTCCAACCTAAACCCTGCTCCTGCCAATCTAGCAGCTTGAAAGCATGCAGATGCGAGTAGATAAATAGATACCAGTAGAAAAATAACACTGCTCTATGACCTCATTCTGTAAAAATTCATTGTAAAAATCCAGGCACTGTGGTTAGTCTATTGTTCAGTATGTACAAGTAGTCCTCAACTTACAACCATTTGTTTAATGATCATTCGAAACTACAATGGCACTGAAGTAACTTATGACCCTAACCCCTACCCTCAACTCTCCTGTGGATATTTATGGTTAATTCAAACCCAAATTAGAAATAATAAAGTTTACTGTATTGTGAAAATAGGGACAGTGACTGGTTTGTATATCACTAAGGCCATGCTTCTGAAGCCATACCGATAGTACTGTCCTCCCTAGTGTTTCTTTTTGAAGTTAAACCACATTCCCACTCTCATTTTTTGATTTACTGTAACAATGCTTCAGCTGTAGGGCAGAGGTGTCCAACCTTGTTAAGACTTGTGGACTTCAACTCCCAGAATTCCCCAGCCAGCCACCTTTCTACAATCTTTTTCTAATACAGTACAATATCAGAAAATATCTTAATGGATGTAATGGATGAAGTCTTTGAGCAATTAGAAAATGATTTACAGTGGTTATATTCACTACTGACCACTAGAAGACACTATATGACCAATTTGATTCTTGTTGGGACTAGCCTCTCAATGGTCTGTGATGAATTTATTTAATTATTAAATGTATATCCAAAGTGATTCTGGATGGCTTACAATACAATAAAAATCTAAATATAAAAACAATTTAAAATTACATGAATTCTTTGTAATACAAAGTTATATACATGTACCCCAACTTTAGGGGGGAGGTCATGAGACTTCTAGTATGATATCCAGGCAAACTAACATCTATAGCTCTCTCAGATTGCAAACCAATCAGAAAGGAAGGTGTTATCATTCATAGCAATTGGACCTATTATGCCTTACAGTCTTTGGGCACATGTGGTTTCTTTAACACAAAAAAAGAAATTGAGGCATTATAAAATCAAACATCTTCCTATGGAGCAGGTCTGGTTTCCCAGTTATGGATGTCGAAGCAGGCATGTGAATTGGGTCTTGTTTCCTTTGTTAATCAGTGCTGCTGGGTTACACAGTGCCACTTGTTTAAAATGCCTGTTATGCCTTCTTCCCCATTCAAGGATTCAACTGATTTCTGCATTCAGCTGGACCCTTCTACCACTGTAAATACTGTAATGTCTCATATTGAGTTCATCTTCTCAACTTATATCTCAGAGCTGTTATAGGTCCTCCTTTTAATCACACTTATTTGGGGCTTTCCTCTTCAGAAAGATGAAAGAAAGAAAACTGATACACACCATCCAGAAAGTTCTACAAATTGTGGAGATTGAAGACAAAATGCCAACTAAGCACAACAAAAATGTTTACAAGAGGCAATTGCACTATATGCTACTGTGGGTGTATTCCCTGCAACTGTTCTTGTTGAGTATCTCCTGCACACTAAACTGCCACATTTGTTAGTTGTCTACTGTAGGAACAGGGAGCCAGCACAAAGCAGCTCATGAGGATGTAACAGCACAAACTTGTTGAACACACACTCTTGAAATAGGGAACTCAGCTATTGTGGAAAATGTGAAGCCATAAAACAAAACATCTCTAGTCTATGGAGCTCTACCATACTGTGCCATCCGTATGAAAAATACGATGGTCACAATCTAACAGGAACATCAGAAAGAGACTTGAAATATTTATCATTTCAAAAGACTTGGTGGCACTTCTCAGATGCAAGCTAATGATTGGAAACCATATAAAGGAGGCCTGACATACATCTCCAAAACATGCAACAAATCTTGATGGATCAGATGGATGTAGATGGATCGGATATATAACATCTGGTAAAAAATATTGTCTTCTATATCCAGTTGTATGACTTGCCAAAGTCCAGAACATTTCAAAGACTATCTAATGATGAGACATTCCATCTCCAGTCTACACACTTTATGAAATATGATTAGGTACATTAGTGTACCTGTATATTATTTGTGTTGCTATTGCATATCATATTTGTCATGGTGAAAAAGGTGTGCGCCTTTGTAAATAATCTCTGGGAGGGAGTTGTTTTGTGTGCACATGCATGCCTTTGAGTCAGTGTTGACTCCTGGCATCTTCCTGGACTACCTCTACAGTTTTCTTGGCAAGAGTTCAGACGTGGTTTGTTACTGCTGTCCGCATGAGAAAGGAAGGCTGAGAAAGAGTGACTGACCCAAGGTCAACCAGCTGGCTTTGTAATTACGGTGGGCCTCAAAATCTGGTCTCCTAGTTTCTAGCTTGCTGCCTAAAGCAACTACATGATTCAAACTACATGATCTCATTATATGTTTGTTTCTTACCAGCACAAATTCAGGCCAGACATAGTTCAAGGCCAACCACTTGAAGGAAGGAGAGGATATAAATGTGCTTAGAGAAATTATTGCTGATAAGTATGTGTAAGTAGAGAGAACCTATTTAGTGTAGTGGTTACGATACCAGGCTAAAATCTAGGAGACCCTGAGTTCTAGTGCTGCCTTAACATCTCAAAACACAGCAATAAGCACAGCAATTGAATTTTGTTAATCTAGGTTTAGGATCTTGCAGAGGAGTGGGTAACTTGCAAAATTCAAGTATTGTAGCAGGGTATGAATGGCATGTTGCTATAAAAATGACAAAGAGAATGAGAAGAAGAAGAAGAAGAAGAAGAAGAAGAAGAAGAAGAAGAAGAAGAAGAAGAAGAAGAAGAAGAAGAAGAAGAAGAAGAAGAAGAAGAAGAAGAAGAAGAAGAAGAAGAAGAAGAGGAAGAGCTTCTTCTTCTTCTTCTTCTTCTTCTTCTTCTTCTTCTTCTTCTTCTTCTTCTTCTTCTTCTTCTTTTCAAAACTTGTAGAGGTAAGATCACTCGTACCCCTGATGAGTTCTCTGTGAACTTTAAGGTCCGGCACGAAAAATGTGACAACAATATTACAAACCACACGTGGATCTACATAGAAGAAACTGTGTTCCTTCTAATAAAATGCATAGGGCATTATCATATTAACTGCATTTAATAAAAAATTAGGAAGAGTGAGCATACTGTGACACTTATTAGAGTAGGACCGAGATAATTAACCATTCTCAATTATCTCTTTCTTGAGAGTGAAAGTAAGGCTTAAATTAGTCAGATTGCAAATCTTGAATCAGGAACTTGGAATGCTGTTTTTAAAAAGTTCTGTTCTCATAATACATGTAACACCTACTGATTCTGTGAATTTTCATTAGCTGTGATGCTGGCAGCTCATTATCAAAACTAGCTGGTTCAGCCAACTTTTTCCAGGAAGTAACTACTATGCCATCAATCTTTGCATCAGACTGATGTATATAGTGTAGATCAAAGATAATATTAATTTTATTATTAGCCACCCCTTTCCCCATTGACTAAGGAAATACTAGGGTAATTTGCCTGGCCACTGCAGCCAATCAAGGTTTTTGAAAGGTGTTCTAAGCTTCCAAACTTCAGCACTGCCTTCTACTACCCTATAAAGAAACTTCTTACCAAATCAGTTTTTTTTATTCAGCATTTTTCCTGCATGATTAAGTAAAATAAAATGGATCATTTGATTAATTTTATTTGTGACTGGGTGAAGACTCATTCATGTGGCATATACCTGTAACCCCAATAGTTAACCTGGGTCGGTTGATCCCTTTTCGGTGTTTCTACAATACACTCACCACACCTTGCTCCCAATGATTCAGTGAAGGGCATGTTTATCAGATCAAGGTTTAAAAACTCCAGAAGCCACTGGATGGCAGCAAGTTGTTTTTGTATTCCTTTGCTGCCATTGAAGGCTGTTTGGACTTTTGCAGCCTAGATCTGATAGCCCTGATTAAGAGTATCATGGGAACATAACCATACTGATTACTCCATCAGGCC